GCAGATCATTTTGTTGTCGCTTGTCATGATTGGGTATGATTCCAGTTTTCCGTCTATACTTTCTATTTTATATTTCGTTGGTGAAATGACATTATTTCGAGATGTTGTTTCCATTTTTATTTTGGACTCCTGCATACCTTGTAGGGTTGGTAATGGTCCGATTCAATTCAGTTCTAAAGGTAACCGAATCGAATCTGAAATTTCGAGTATTTAATAAGTGGAATTGTCGTGTCCAAATTTAATTATGGAACCGTTCGAATTCGATTTCATTCGGTTCGGTCTCATTCGTTTCTCGGGTTACATACATACATACATACATTAATTAATTATTTATTTATTTATAACAACATTACATTAATTCAACTATGATATGTTTAATCTTAGCTATTACAAAATAACGTCGTCCAATTCCATGATATCTTTTTTGCCTCTCTTTGTTGAGTTCTTCATAAATTTGACCATTAAAATCACAAGAAGAGGAGCATAGTGAGCTCACACTAATAGAAGAGCTAAAACGGCATTACAGTAAAATAATAGATTTGGGTCAAATTTATGTCATTTGATTAAGTTGGTCTTGGCTGTAAATTAGAAATAGTAAAATCATATTTTGGGTTTGGGCTAAATTAATTAGTTAGCAAATTTATTTAGAAAAAAATAAAATAATTTGGCTTATTTAAGATAAAAAACTTTTAAAAAAAATTAGGGAGATTCAATTCTTTTAAAAAATCGAGAACCGAACCAAACCCGTCGGTTCTCGATTCAGATATCCGTTCAGGTATTTAACTTAAAAAGAACCGTTCGATTCCATTCAGTTCAGTTCAAGAATTTTGTCCAGCCTTACCTCGTGCAATTTGATATTATTTTCAAATGACATGCACTAGTACTAATATTGCATGGTCAGTAAAACTTGAACTAGACTTCAAAAACTTGTTCCCAAATCTTAGATAAACGGGTAATAATAGCTTGCCTAGAGATTCTTAGGAGTCCTACTTTGGCAAAGATTGTTAAGAACTCGACTCTACTATAAAGCCTTGTCCATTCTAATCTGGGGGATGCGGAAATCATCGTCTTCTAATTTTCTCTGTCACGGACTATTTCCATAGTTTCTAAGGCTCAACTCACTTTCAACTAGCTCATTCAATTTTTAAGTTGAACTTAGATTTTGTTTATTTAATTTTTTTGGGGATTATTTATGGGGGGAGTGGGGAGCAACCAAAGTCGGTATTGTTGGTTTTAGCATGAAAGAATACCATGTAAAAGGACTCAACACACCCTTTGCCGTAATGTCATTTCGTTTTATATTTCATGTCTCCCTTTTACTTTAGAAAGCAACCTCTACCAGGCATCACAAGCCATTATCTGCATCCATATGATACTCCCAATTCGATACCTAAATTTATAATCATTGAATGATTGTACCATATGATTACTAAAAGAAGTTTTTTTTTTTTTGACAGGCACTCCGGTTCACCAGGAAAAAGTTAGGAAGTTGTATCAGAGTTTTATGCAATTCCAACATTGGTGGAGGCTTTAACATTGGGAAGGACGTCTCTTTGCCAGTGACCTATATTCGCTCTGGAGAGAACCCTCGGAAGGATATTGGAGGAATTCATCCTTCACAGAGAACTATTTTAGCCTTCTTTGCTGGAGGCATGCATGGTTTTGTCCGTCCAATCTTACTACAATATTGGAACAACAAGGAACCTGACATGAAAATCTATGGGCCAATGCCTCGTGATATTGAAGGCAAAGCAAGATACAGAGAATTCATGAGAAGCAGTAGATATTGCATTTGTGCTAAAGGCTACGAAGTCCACACACCACGTGTTGTGGAATCCATATACTATGAGTGTGTGCCAGTGATTATATCTGATAATTACATACCCCCATTCTTTGATATTTTAAATTGGGAAATGTTTGCACTGTTCATTTTAGAGAAAGATATTCCAAATCTGAGGAGCATACTTCTATCAATTCCAGAAGATAAATACATGATGATGCAGCAAAGATTAAAAATAGTTCAGCAATATTTTGTTTGGCACAAAATTCCTGAGAAGTATGACTTGTTTCATATGATCCTTCACTCAGTTTGGTACAACAGAGTTTTCCAGGTAAAATCTTTATGAGGATTTGAGAGAGTTGAAATTTATATGTGCTCTATAAACCTTGAATATGATCACGTTGATTAACTATGCTGAATAATGTCTTTGTGAAGTACTGAAGTGCAAGAATGATGAGATCAAGAGAGTTCCGAATTTGTCATGAATCTTAAACGTGCTTTTGATTGATTGATGAGGTCGAATGGATCGAAATATGTTACATCCGTTCATATTGCTTCTAGCAAGTAGTTGCAGACCTAGTGATACAAAGCTTGCAGGGTCGAGGACCATCATAAAACTGGTACACTGTTCTTCCAACAGGATAATCTTCTAAGCCTGGTTGCTGCTTGCATTCTCCTCTAGGCCCCTGCTTTCAGTAATGTAGTGGATATCCCGTCCATGAAGTAATTTGGGTATCTCTTTTGCTGCTGTTATGAAAACTTGTCCTATTTCAAAAGCGTTGTAAAGAATTTTCTGTTTCCATTCACATTTCACCACTGATTGATGTGTACATCCAATAGTACTTTGAACTTTTGTTAATGTAAATGGAAATAAATATCATTTTCTTTGTCTTGCTCAAAAGTAGTTTGGCTTCTTTATGTTAATCATAGTCAGGTCTTTTTCATATCGTTAGTAACTAGATAGATATATATACCTTTGTTGGTGGGTGTGAGGATTGGGAAGAGGCTGGGCTATATCTGGGGTGTTTGTTTCTTCTTTTGTTCAGAAGTCTGCCTATAATCTCATGCTATGAAGAATGTTAATAAGTGAGAATCAATTGCCAGGATATTCAACTTAATAGGTGCCAGATTCGAGGTATATAAGTCGAGCAAGTGGTTGATCCTTAGATCTTCAACTGCAGGATCTAATCCCATGTGTTAATTTTATTCCCAGAAACTGAAGTTATTCATGCTCTATTATCCAGTCACTCTAATGTTTTTGTGAAGGGTATTTCATTGCAGTACTTTTCAGTGATCTTTTCTTTGCGATATACAGAATTGGAAACTAACAAGATTCTTTTGGGGCTAATTCTGTCCATTTTTTACTAAGAAATTCGTCCATGTAAAATAGATGGAAAAACATGAGAATCTATGTACAATTATACAATCTTTGCAGCAATTCTAGAGCTGCCAAGTTGTGATTCTGGTCCGCTGTATCTATTCCAGAAACAGTGATTTTGCCATAGCAAATGTATTTCGGCAAGAGGAAGAAAAATAAAGTTGCTCATGATGATGATCAAACTCCTGAACAGTAAGAAGAGGTGACATAGAGATACGGTGAAACACTGAGCAATCAGAGCTGGTGCCATTTTTGAATGATATAGAGTACTTGTTGGCTTGTGTGTCCATATCGTATATTTTGCTGTGATAAAATAATATTTTGATATTCGATCATGTCCTTGTAGTAGCTCGGAATAGCTTTAGTTTCAATTGCATATACTTGAAAGTTGTAGACTAAATTATAACTGTAACTAAAACGTAGGGATTACATGTGCAATTAAACCAATTGAGACCTATTTTGACTTTGATAATGGAGATTACTTTTTCTAATGTATACACCGATTTTGGGAATAAATCTTTTGTAAAAGCTGATTTTGACTTATTAGACGCACAACAATAAAGCACTTTCACTGCCAAAAATCAAATGTTGACAAAAACATACAACAATTTTGAAATAAAAAACATAATTAATTAATTCATTTAGCAGATATAAATGAGGAAAAAAAATTATGTAAAAGAATTAGTTATTAACTTATTTTCTGGTAATTTCATGTATGCTATTTTGGGCATGATTGCTTTCTCAATGCTTTGCTATTGACAAGGTGAATTGTTTTTCTAATAATATGACATTAATTTGAGTAACCTCATAATATAGCCATGTTTGAACCCGATTCTTTAAACTCATTTTTTTTAAAACTAATTTTCGATTACACAATCTCCCAATAATATAATTTTATAGGCAATTAAAAAAAATTCCTACTTTTTAATTGCACATTCTTTAGAAAGTCGTTTTTTTTTAATTGCACATTCTTTAAAAAGTCGTTCTATCAACTTATTTAGGTTTTGTCTGGCCCTGCTTTTCATCAGATTTTCAGTGGGACTATAGCCGTTTTTTTCAAACAATGGCCCCCACACATCTCATCTTTGATCAACTTCTGCGGCTGGAGTTCTTTGCAACGGTTGAAAAATCACTCAAAATCTGGCAAAGAATTCGACCTAGACACAGCCTTAAATTCATTTCTATCTATTTATAAACTCTTCCCATTTCTACTTGTCAATCACGGTACTGGAGCTCCAGTGACTAGACATCTTGAATTCTAGTCTCCATCTCTACCTGTTTATGAGGTCTCAAGCATTGGATAGAGAAAATGAATCTGGCATTGAAGAAGACATAATTTCAAATAAGTTTCTCCTCTTCTCTTTAAGTTTTTCTCACATTGTACTGAAATTGAATTCATTTGTCATGCATGTTATATGAGTGAATTGTTTGTTCCATATTGAAAAGCAAGAATTAGTCATCCTCTTTTATTGCTGTATTGATGTAAATGTGGAGCGGACTATTTCGACATAAAAATGTAGTATCTTCTCACGAATTAGTTAATTAAACAGGAATCCTCAATATTGTACAGAATAACAAGTAGTGGGTGAATCTTTATAAATTTGATCGGTTAAATGACATTTATTTGGTAATAGACAAACATTACAATATTTGAATTTAGGTGCATTGTACACATCAGTACTCGAGTGCATTTCTCCGTCAGAGTCAGAATGAATATGTTTTCAAACCTTCTCTTTAAAATTCAAAGTGGATATTCAACATAAAAAATCCAATTACAAATGCAAGCAAAAAAGAATCACAATCCAGACGACTTTTGATGTACGTCTAAGTTTCTTCTTTCTTTCAGTCAATATTTACACGTGACGATAATTGTTGAAGTCCAACCTCTAAATCGTTTAATGTGATCGTAAGTAACTCATAACCTTCGCAGTCGAGACTAAGTCTTGTATCCAAATTTTCTTTCGCATTAGTTAGTATATGATCGACTAATCCCCCATTCATTTTGTTACGCAGCTTTACTGTACTTCCTTTCTCTATGACTGCAGTTATAGCTTCTAAAGTACAGAAAGGATGCAACTTGAATCCGTAGAATTGGCTCCCCTGCTTTTGTTTAGTCATCTTTACTTGCACAATCTCGGCAAGGTCCCGGGAACTAAAATCATCAAAATGGAAGAAATGTGTTACCCTTCTGCATAATCCTTCGTTTGAAGACATTACACGCTTCATTGGTTTAGTGTAACCGGCGAAAATTACTAATATATCTCCATCTTCCAATACAGACATGATCTCCTCTAAAGCTTCCACCCCATAATCTTGGTAACCTACTGTCTGTTTGATTACTAAACGGTATGCTTCATCCACAAATAAAATACCCCCCTTGGCCTCTTCAATCTGTTGCAGGCATCATACATTTGTTGGTCGTTAGATCATTTTGGAATGTGTAGAGTCTAATTATGGAAAACTCTATAGAGTCATGAAGCCAATACCTTTTCTCTAGTCTTTGATCCGGTTTGACCAAGATATTCCCCCACCAAATCCGTTCTTTGAACTTCAGTTACACTATTTGAAGAAAGAAAACCCACAGAATGGAGTAGTTTACCAAGAACGCGGGCTACAGTAGTCTTTCCTGTTCAGAAAATGTTGACAAACATCAGCTCAATATGACTACCGAATAAACTATCAACGTGAGACAGATTATGGCTTGTGAAAACTTTTCATGATCGCTTTCTAGGAGTAGGATAAGATTAAGGAGGCCATTTGGTCACTCATACCTGTACCAGGATTTCCAAGGAATACCATGTGAGGTGCTTTCCGTGGCCCAAGATCTATCCCCATAGACCAGCGCTTCTTGTCCAAAATCATCCCTTTCGCCCACTTCCGAAGTTGCACTTTAAGCTCATGTAGTCCCACTAGCTTTGATAATTCACAGTCAAGCTTGTCTAATATTCCTTGCCCTCCACTGTGCGTATCTTCAATGTAAGCATGGTGTCTCTGCACTTCAAAATTTGGGGAGAGTCTGCGCAATTCTTCATTATCTAGAGTATCAGGGACATAGTGTAAAGGAATCAAACCCCGCTGCATAAAAATCATTCACAAAATTAACATCATGGACACAAGAAAGAAATCAACTACCTTAACAAAGGAACTATGGATACATACCTTATCTTCTGCAAAGCAATTAGCATTGTAATCTAACAATGTCGTCATTGTCGAGTACTCTCCAGATTCTAGGGCATAGAAAACAGAAAGATGCAATGGAGTCCAACCGTTCTGCACAAAGTATGCCAAAAGACAAGAAATTTGATAACTCATACATAACCTGAAATGAAAACATCAAAAATAAAGTAAAAATTATCAAACTGAATACGGACAATGGTTTTGGCTTCGATGTTGGCATGCTGAGATAGAAGCATCCTTGCTACCTCGTGGCATCCATTCTTAGCCGCCAGATGTAATGGAGTCTCACCATACTGAAAAGTGAAACAAAATGCAACAGCATAAGATGAGACTATTGGAATGAATTCATTTGGTTCTCATATCAATGAGATTTTAGTTTTAAGTTGCTTTTACATACAACATTTTTAGCTTCCAACTCGACCTTGCCTGGTCCTTTCCAGTCAAGCAAATACTTGACTATCTCAACTTTATTGTTATCGGCTGAAATATGTAGTGGTGTCTGTGCCAGCTGCATCCAAGCAAAGAAGCCGAGGGTATAATGATAAGAAAGTCATGGTTACCAATCTTCATGTAGGCATGTAGCAATTAAAACACAACTGCAGATTTTTTTCACGAAATACAGAGTGATTTTCCTGTAGTTTAAAATACAAATCTGATACGCAGTTAACTGGTGTGATTAGAAAGACTAATCGTGGCATTTTCTCAGTAACTATCTAGGCTGGAGGCCAAACAAGAATTTATCAGAAGAAAAAATTAAACTCATGTAAGGGCATTTTCCTGAACCAAAATTAACAAAGGCCGTTGGGCGATAAAACTCAGCATCTACCCTTCTCTAAGAAACATATAGAAAAATGTTGTTTTGAATATTGTGCAAAAATGTGACACCACAGCTTCAGAACTAGGCAGAATGGAACCTGAAACAATATTGTTTAATGTTCGAAGAACGGTATCTCACCAAATTGTTTACTTCTATCCAAACAGAACTTTATGAAGTCCAAAACTAATCTCTATTTTTTGATATTCACATCTATACACATCCATTTCTGAAGAAAGTCAACTTCTATATCATGTCTTAAAATTTTGTTTGTTAAAATAATGGTCGACATTTCGCACACATCAATATGACCTAAAAAGAAATAATAGTGTGTTTTGAGTTTCTAAATGATGCAGCAGGATATAAAGGAATACGAATTAGAATCTAAAGACTTATTGATTCACGTATATCTAATCATTAACAATATAATGCAAATTTTCTGCAACTGAGGATGTGGTTCCTGCGTTAGATGTTCGACTAGACAACCCAAAAGCAGACTCTACCGCAGCCATGGCTGGTTGCAGCAGAAGACACCGTTCCCCCGGGCTACTGTTGCAGCAGTTGGCAGAAAACAGGGGCAGCAAAGTAGCCGCCCTTGGAGCAGTGGCCTATTGTTGCTGCCACTGCTAACTCCACCCTCCATGCTACCAATTTATAATGGGAGAATTGCTTCTCTAACTGTAATGCTCGTTTGAGGGCTTTGGAAATGGCCAAGGGCAAAAATAAGTTCAAATCTTCTCGCAATTGCAATTTCATATCTTCTAGCATTGCAATTCCAGTCCCCAAATAGACCTCGACACAACACTAGTTGATCATCCAATTCGGTGTTTTCTTTTCGCAGCAACAATTGATAAAATTCCGCATAATATTATCTACTAAACAGGAAACTTGAGGCTAGAATTGGAACAGTTGGTAAAAGGCTTTCGAGTAATTATAGGGAAGAACGCCTTCCAAATATGCTTATTTAGTTTCAACCACGAATCAATCTTGGCCTCAACATTTTTCATCGAATTGATTTTAAGTTGTTGCCACTCTTCGCCCAAATCACGTTGCTATTAATTTTACCTGTTTGCAATTGCAGATATCCTAAATATCAAGGATCTCCTCCACCGCACACACCCAATCAAGGAATTGAGGCTTCTCCTCTCTACAAATCGCTTCATCCATGCAAATTATAATCATTTGATTTTTTCCTTGGTGACATCTTAACAAGTGATCAAATACTGTGCTTTGATACCAAACTGATAAGCCGAAATTTAATAGCACTCCAAAGACTTGTTGTACTTGTAAATAATCCAAGAATTCTGATATCAAATATTTGATGACAAGAATACTAAGAATCCCTCAATAATTTATCTTAAAAATATGAAAGCCACAAATAGTAAATCCTAATTCTCGTTTTTACGAAAAACTCTAAAACACCTCAACATAACTTCAAATAACTTGCAAAAAAAGGCCCCCAACTCCTAATAATTTCATAATTAATTAAAAATAAGCCCAATCAGCTGTAGTTAACTCTACAGTCAAACTCCTTTTGCATCACTCAAGCTTCAAGGTTGGATGGACATCTATCCCATAATTTAAGAGCATTATTGAAGCAAGAAGATTTGATTTTGTATTATCCTCGTTACAGATTGCAGATATATCACCAAATAAACCAATAAATCAAGACAAATAATAACAATGAAGCTCACATGTTTCGACAACGTACGTATAATGATCATAAATTCAAGGCAAACAGATGAAGAAAAACACGTTCCCTCAAAATGGAATTCTCCACATTTTCACCAAATATGATTAAAACAAATTATTCATTAATCAACACATCGCCAGAGAGTGCCCGTGTGTACTTACAAATACGCTTCTCTCACAAAGACGAGAAGGGTCGTCCTGAAGTAACCTCTTAAAGCCAGAAAGATCTCCAGACTTGGCAAATGTGTGAATGGTGGTATTGGGTACCGAGTACTTATCATTAACATCCGCTTCCACTTGTCTGGATTCATCCCCATCAAACCCGCTGCGAAATTTTTTGTTGGATTTGGAATCATATGGACTGGCGGCAGCACCACTCCCTGCTCCGTGTCCCACCGTTACATCACCAATGCCAGCAACCCCATGACCCGCTGCCGCTCCACCAATCGATGGTGTGGTTCTCGTGCCACTCACGTCAGCGTCTTTCCCGTAAGAGCCACCCAACAATTCCTGTTGTTGGTTCATCACTGTAGCAACCTGTTTTGCCAACGAATCCACCAGTTGGCGCAAATGCACCAACTCCTCTCTGCAAATCACTTCGTCTGTCGCATCATCAAAAGCATTAGGACGTTTTCTTGGCCGCATCTTAACAAATGACCGACAAATGTACATTGATATCAAACTGATCCAAATTCTAATAACAATAAAAAGATACATGTTGCATGTAGAATTTGAAAATCTAACACTTGCTTTATCGAAAAGGGAAATAAATAACTGCGAAAAATACTAAGAATCCCTCATTAATTATTCTTAATAAATATGAAAGCCGCCAAATTATAATTCCAAATTCTTGTTTTTACGAAAAACCCTAAAACCTAAATGGGTGTATTCAATCTAAACTAGAGTTTTATAGACTTTAGAAGTCTACTTTAGAATCCTAGATTGAATACACTTCACCCCTTAAAGAGTAATATCATGTTGCATTTCGATTTGCAACTTGCTGATGATCTTGAATGACAGAAAAGTCTATCGTCGAAACAAATTTTGTTAAAAAATTTTAGAAATATTGCATGGGCATCTTTATGGCGACACCCAAATCGCTTAAATTGGGTTTATTTGTGAAGTATTATTATTATAAATTTTGCTCAAAGTCGAGTTCAAGAGTTGACGGAAATCGAACAATTCAATATGTTGCTATAGATTATAACAAGAGAGTCAATCTCAGAAGATAAATCCAACTTTTGAAGTAATCGACACGCTACAATGTACGTTAGTAAATGAAATCCAACGAATTTAACTTATGGAATCATATATTTTGATTTAAGTCAAAGTCAACAATTTATATCAATCACATATTTCATCGGTTTTTATTAAAATTTGTTAAATTTTTTATTTTTTTGTTGACGTAGGAACTCGCAGCCGCTACCCGCCAGCGGAGTCCTGGGTGGCCTGATCACTGTGAATGCACACTAGGTAAATTCCGCTCCATGTGCAGTAATTTACGAAAAACCCTAAAACCTAAAAGGGTGTATTCAATCTAAACTAGAGTTTTATAGACTTTAGAAGTCTACTTTAGAATCCTAGATTGAATACACTTCACCTCTTAAAGAGTAATATCATGTTACATTTCGATTTGCAACTTGCTGATGATCTTGAATGACAGAAAAGTCTATCATCGAAGCCAATTTTGTTAAATTTTTTTAGAATTATTGCATGGGCATCTTTATGGCGACACCCAAATCGCTTAAATTGGGTTTATTTGTGAAGTACTATTATTATAAATTTAGCTCAAAGTCGAGTTCAAGAGTTGACGGAAATCGAACAATTCATTATGTTGCTATAGATTATCACAAGAGAGTCAATCTCAGAAGATAAATCCAACTTTTGAAGTAATCGGCACGCTACAATGTACGTTAGTAAATGAAATCCAACGAATTTAACTTATGGAATGTTATATTTTGATTTAAGTCAAAGTCAAAAATTTATATCAATCACATATTTCATCGATTTTTATTAAAATTTGTTAAATTTTTTATTTTTTTGTTGATGTTGGAACTCACAGCCGTTACCCGCCAACAGAGCCCCGACCACTCAGAAGAGACGAAGGTCGACCACTGTGAGTGCGCACTAGATAGACCTCACTCTATGTACAGTAGCCCACAAGCCACACAGAAAATTTAAACTGCACTTGACAAGCCCGATGCGAAATGCTCGATCGATGAAGTGTTGACAGGGAATTCCCCGAAAGTTGACTTTGCAATCAAAAACCCAAAATTATATAAAAATAAAAGTAAGAAAGAGGAAATAATATATCCAGGGAAAGCGGTTACATGCAGGTTAGGATACTTACCAGTTGACTTTATTGTTATTTTACTATTTTAGGTGCTTTTGTGAAGCAACCAAAATTTGATTTTTGATTCAAAGACAAAATTTATTTAGCAATTTTAATAATTAAACCGATAAAATCTAATCTATGAAATTGTGTTCCTAATTTGCAAGAATTATAAAACATTTTTATAACAACTTATATAGAATTATTTCTCTTGAAGATTCATATCCAAGTCAGAAGTTACGGATTCTAAAATTTAAAATCTTGTCACACCACATAATAAAATGAGTCATGCTTCCTGTACAAAATTACGTTACAAAATTGGTTTACAAAATACGTGTTGACAACATTTTGGCCAATAATTTAAAAAACAGTTTTTGAAATCAATGACCTAGATCTTGCCACATCATTTTGTCAACACACTCTTGTAAATCACATTTGTACAAGTAGCATAATTGTTCATGAATTACTGACTG